TTTAGTTACCTGATGAGCACTGTTCAGTTAATTATTGTTTTTTAATTATTTGTTTTTGTTGGCTTGTTTTTTAGTTGTTGTTTTGTTTTTTTAGCAGAACTTGCATAACCCATAACGAATCATTATTCATATGTTTCTTTAGTTACTTACGCTATATTAATTGGCATTCAATTTTGCAAGCTAGATTCTGTCATTATAAATGCACCAGATTTATTTAATTCTGAAAATAGTGAGGTTAATGGTTTGATCTTTCTTCATGTATAGTGTTACCTTGTTATAAACAAATATTGTTTTGTTTTATCAGACATAGATTGTGATTATGTGTTAATTATTGTGCACAAGGCTATACCTGTTTATCAATACTTGACTGAACTCAATACAAAACTCAGATTTATTTATTGATACAAGGCTATTTGAAATCATCTCAGGAAAAATGTGTATTAAGTCACACTACTGGACATTTATTACTAGTGGTGCTGCTACAAATAAAACACATTTTGCACAAACTGGACATAAGCATAACAGAAAATACAAATAATATTCAGTTTTAAATCTTAGTAGGCTTTAATTTAATCTCCTGTCTCAAACAAACAATATGGGATTCAGTCGCACAGTGCCTTCACACAGTACAAGATCTTGCAGGAATGGGAGAAGCAAACATACCCTTTTCATGACAAAAAGCAAAGGGTTATGAGCACAACTCATATTTTTCATTTTGTACACAATTGCTAGTTTAATCAAAAGAATTAAGGAAGTCAGTGTCAAAGGGCACTAGTGGCTTTAGTAAGTACACTGTCCATTTTTAAATAACAGTGAATAGGTTTTAATTCTTAGCATTTAAACAGAAAAAGCTTTAGAATTTAGAATTAGTATGTCAACAGCAGTTGCTTGAGCACCTGGGAAGTAGACATGAATAGTTAATGTCACTGTGACATATCCATCAATCTGTGCTCACAACACTAGAGCAAAAGTCATATGAATTTCACCTCCACGATATCCACAGACCATCACAGAAAAAAAAATCCACACAGACGAAGAGAACAAAAATGCCATCAAACAGTATATCAGAAAAAACAAGCATACAAAATGCTAATCAGGTGCTACTTCACTTCTATTAGATTATTTAAAATGTATATATTGTTGTCAAACTTGTGTATGTTAACAGTGAAGTGACAAATGCACATTTTTGCACCCAAAACTGGTAGCACAATGTCTGGTTGTTTGGCCAGTAATTGTTTGCTTGTTGTTTTATTTGGATTGTCTTTGAGCCCTTTATGCACAGTCTGCACCCTGTTTCTCATTGTGTCAATCTGGTGCTCTGTGTCTGCTCATTAGTGCCTCGGTGCATCTATTAATACTACATTTTCCAACCACTGCAAAAACTACCCTTAGTAGTTCATCTTTGAATGCCATTTTTTACTTACTTATGGATTCTCTGTGTTTCATCACAGACTGTGGCCTTGACAAAAATTAGGTTTCCACATGTTGGATTTGCTGTACTTAAAGTTCAGAATATGTTCTTTTTTACCTTTTATTTTTTATATATGAAACATTAATTTGACACTGTTAAAAAGTGTGATTAGATAAAGCATAAAAATCTGAACAGATAATTAGAAGGATATATTTTTTTTTAAGATAGTCCATCACATACAATGAAAAAAACTAATGCTTATTTTTGAGATGATGTCGGCCATTTATATCACTGAGCACATATATATTTAATGAAATCATCATATTGATCAAAAGCTTTCCTCAGCTGAAAAACATCTAAAGAATTCATGTATTTTGCATTTCTCTGTGACAGCACTTACATAATAAAAACATTCACAAATTATAATTTAATATGCAGTTTCTGCAAAGAAATGGCTCTTCACAAACCAAATGCTTTTTAGGATGTCTTTTTAATTTAGTATACTGCTCTGTACTTCTAGCTGGAATACTTTCTAATAACTATAAGAGTATTATAAAACTTTTATATAAAACCCCTGGAGCCAAATGAAACTATCTAATTAACAAAGGAAATGAAGAAAGAAGAAACTGGAGAATAATGTAATTTTGGTAAATCAAGAAACAGTTAGTAGATTTCCCTACATTTTAAAGGGAGACTCAAGGCACCAAACCACTACAGCTTATAGTAGATAGCACTGAAGGCTGAGCCGTGTAAACAGAGTCTTTTTTGCTGCCTAATGCTGCCTAATGCAGCATCTATATGACTGTCACTGGATGCTTAGCAAAGATTGCAGGACAAAAGTTTGTCATCTCCATGCTTTACATGAGACACTGTAGGCTCGCCGAAGAGACACATTGAGTAGCATGGTAATTGTCACTTTTGTGAACTTACCCCTCAATGTCTCCCTATGCGAAAGTATTCAATTGGCTAAGCCAGTGGTTCCCATACTTTTTACGTTCAAGGTGCCCTTAACATTTCAATATTTTTCCAAGGCACCCCAAGTCAAAATTTCTAGGTTGTATATCTGTACAGCGCTGAGGCATTTACTGGCGCTATAGTGTAATGTACAGTGTTGGTGTTTGAAGGGGTGCTTATGTATAGTTTTAGTGTTTTAATATAGGGGTGTGTTTGAATGTAATGTTTCCTTTTAAATGCGGATGTACATTCGTGTGAGGTGTTTGTGTTTGAGTGAAGGGGTGTGTTTGTATATCCTTTTAGAGTTTGAATGCAGGGGTGTGTTTGTATGTAATATATTGTATGTATTGTGAGATTGCAGAGTGTGTTTGTATGTTGTGATGGTTTATGACTGCTTGGATGTATGCACATACACTACCACATACATACATACTTACACAGATATAGATATACACAAATTCCTATAGACACATAGATATACACCGACACACCGATATACACGCTCTTTGTGATCCTCTACCCTCACGCTGTGGCTGCCTCCTCCCGCGCTGTCACCCTGCATGACGCTGGGAGGAAGTGAGAGGCTGTCACTTCCTCCCAGCCAGCAAACGTTACAGGGTCCATGTTGAGCAGCAGTGTATAATCATAGCACCGGGGAAACATTCTGCGGCACTCCTGTGTGCCTGTCACAGCACCCCAGGGCGCTGCAACACACAGTTTGGGAATCGCTGGGCTAAGCTCATCACTATTGATGATCTCAGCCAGAGGAAAAGTGGGGGCCATGACAAAAACCAGTGTTGTGGGAATAAAGATAAGTAATAACTATTATTATGTATTACATATGAAGGGCTGAATCTAAGTAGCTAGTATAATACTCTAACCTAAAGAATACATGTATTCATAATGCTAGAGTTTTCCTTTAACCCCTTAAGGACACATGACATGTGTGACATGTCATGATTCCCTTTTATTCCAGAAGTTTGGTCCTTAACGGGTTAAGTTTGGGGAAAAAAAGATTATATCAATTAATGGGTTTAAAATATTGTATATTACAAATATCAGACGATGTGGTTGGAATGGAATTTAATTTGAAGAAGCAAAATATTAAATTAAACAAAGAAGTGCATTACCGTTATGGTGCAAATGACATATTTTTACTTCACAAATAATGCAGCTAGCAAACATTACACATTTTTGGGCTATCTGAAAATAAATTTTGATTACATTATATACATGTGTTTAAATAAGTTTTAGTTTAACAATATTAATTAAGGGATATATAAAATTTCCCAATTAAGGCCAGAAGTCAAGCTGGAAAAATACTCCATCTCAGCTACTTTTCCAGTTTGGCTTGCTTACCTTAAGTTTGGCAATTCCAAGCATGCTTCACTTTAATGAATAACTTGTGCATTGAACTTAAATAGGGAAATGTGAAAAATTGTTTAGAGTTTAGAAAGTTTAATGAAAAAACATGTCAAGCTTTGCAAAATAGCTAAGATTATTTGGAGATTATATTTGCATTTTAGCTCTTTGGCCTAAAATATCAATGCTCAATGAAGTTAAAAACAAAGCTTATGCAGAGTCAAAGTGGTTGGCGGCCCTCGATGCACCACAGGCAACATGCCTGGCCATAAATGGTGCGTGTCATACAGGCATCCAAGCTTATATTGCACTTCACTGCCATATTACTTACCTGCCATGTCTGTCAGAGTTATGTGAGCCTCTAAGAAGGAATAGAAATGAACGAGTATGACGATGCAATGACCCCGGTTATGGCTGATACAGATTATAAATGGTAAACAAGTTGACATGATTGACCTGTGCAGATGAATTTGCAGTTGTGACTCAGTAATGACAAAGATCAAATCCATATATTAATGTGGTAGATCTAGGAATTGAATGGGACATTTTAGTTATGAAGAACGATTAACAATTATAAATCTCCCTAGTTTAGAAAAATGGTGCTTCAAAGGACATTTTTTCCTAGTTTGTTGCAAAATTGGAAGCAATTCAAACTGGGTTTGAGTTTGCCTTCTATTGGATCAACAGCAAAATCAGATATGAGAAAGACTGAACTTGATGGACACATCAGGGTCTCTACTGGATCAACAGCAAAACAGATGTGAGAATGATAGACACATCAAGGTCTCTTTACAGCTATGTAACTATGCAATTACTTTGTCCATATTGGATAATGCTAACATATATTTGAGAATACATGAACCTTATAAAACCTAATAAAATCCTGCTTTATATAAATAAAAATCATCAATTGTTTAACAGAAGCTTTTAATATTTATTCCATTTTACAATTTTATATTACTATAAGGTTAACATTTCATTTCTTTCTTTCTGTCCAGTATCTCTAAATTAAATAATAGTATCTCTGGGACACAAGTGACAGAGATACTCAGTCTGGTGAAAAGAACAAAAAATAGACTTTAACAATCAGCAACATATATATTGAAAGCCCTGAGCGACACAAATAACTTATGTAACCAAACACTGAAGGAAGTGTAACAAAATATTAATATTATGCATCACATCAATAGCCTGATTGCAGTGCCCCTTTTTTTTTAAGCGTGCACCCTCAGTCATTATATAGACATTATACATCAGACTTACCCAAACTCTCCTCCAGATGTTGCTGAACTACAACTCCCATGATTCTCAGCCTATCTATTTTATTCATAGAATCATGGGAGTTGTAGTTCAGCAACATCTGGAGGGCCAGAGTTTTGGGAAGCCTGTTATACATGATAGAATGATATTATACATTACACATGACAGAATGTCCCTCTACATACCAGATATCAGCATCTGTCTCCTCACCAGGGGATGTTGTGTAATGAAGTATAAGCTATTGACTTCAGGCACCTCACAGTTTCTTCAATGCTCTGGTGGTTTCATTTTTCTGGTGATACTTACAAAAATAAATTATTGTTGAAAATGTAAATATATAGCAGAAGTCCTGATAACAGGGGGCATTTTACATCAACTCTATGGTAAGCAATACAATACGAATCATTAACTAACAAGTTTAATTCAACTTTTCAACCTCTAAAAATCCTTGCTCAATCTTTAGTTGGCTACATGAATACAACTTTTCTTCCTTAAGGACATTGTCTCTTCTTATAATAGCTCATTTAGACTTCAATGTTTGATAATATATATAAAAAAAGAAAAAATACAGTTTATAAAATTGGACACTACCACACCTTACAGTCAATTCTTAGCTGATGTCATAAAACTCAATGACAATATTTGTGTGACAGATCAGATTCATTTTACCCTCCATCTCAGCAACTATAGCACATGCACTGTAGTTGCTGTGATGTTTCTGTCATGTGCTTGTTTTCATTGGTGAATATTACAGAGCTCAGGAAATTTTCCCAAGCAGGGCTAGTCACCTAGCTGGAGTGTAGGAGATATTGAATTGGGTCTTACAATAGTCAGTAGGTAAGTTTGCAATAAATGTTATGTTTCAAATACTATCTTGGAAAATGTATCCACGTGCAATTACACAGGCATTACTATATTTCAAACTGTCTGACTCTACTTTAATTTGGTTTTCATTCAAACCACTCAATGATATCTAAATGTTTGCACCAAGAATCAGAGAGGCATGAAGCATCAAACATACTGGAGCTATTTTACTAGCCTTTAGAAAGGTAATTGACATTTTTGATCATAACATTGTATTAACTAAACATTATAGACATAGAGGGATACTCCCTAAATGGGAGTAGTTCTTTTATATCAGATATTATTATTTTATTATTTAAATAGCACCAGCAAATTCCATAGCGCTGTACAATGGGTGCACTAACAGACACGTAATTGTAACCAGACAAATGGACGCACAGGAACAGAGGGGTTGAGGGCCCTGCTCAATGAGCATACATGCTAGAGGGAGTGGGGTATAGTGACACAAAGGTATAAGTAGGGGGAATGAAATAGGTTGCTAAAACAGTATTCACTGAGAACTTAGGTTATTTTTGAAAGTTGCAGCAGAGGAGTCATGGTGGGTGGGGTGGGGGGGGGGGTGAATGAAAACCCACTAACAATTTAAATGATATGCTATCCTGAAGAAGTGTGTTTTCAAGGATTTTTTGAAGGAGTGGAGACTGGGTGAAAGTCTAATGGAGAAGGGAAGGGAGTTCCACAGAAAAAGTGCAGCCCTGGAGAAGTCTTGGAGGCGAGCATCAGATGTGGGAGTACAGACAGAGGATAGACGTAGGTCTTCGGCAGAGTGCAGGAGCCTCGATGGGAAATACTTGTGTATAAGGGAGGATAGGTAAGTTGGAGCAGCATTATGTATGGACTTGTAAGCAATCTTAAATTGAGCCCTATATCTAACTGGAAGCCAATGTAGGGACTGACTGAGGGATGAGGCGCGGGAGGTACGGGCGGACAGAAAAATTAGCCTCTCGCATTCATTATAGATTGCAGCAGTGCAGTATGGGAACACGTAAGACCACAGAGAAGGGGATTGCAGTAGTCAAGGCGTGAAAGAACAACGGCATGGACCAGCACATTAGCTGCGTCTGGTGTTAAGTATGCAAGCTATGTTTTTGAGATGGAAGCGGTGGGATTTGGCGATCAACTGGACATAAGTGGTGAAGGAGAGGTTGAAGTCAAAGAGAACACCTAAGCAGTGAGCCTGTGAGGTAGAGATGATGGTGGTGCCGTTGACTTGGATGGAGACAGACATGGGAGTAGCATCACTTGAGGGAGGAAAGACCAGAAGTTCTGTTTTGGACAGGTTGAGTTTAAGGAAGTGAGCAGCCATCCAGTTGGAAATCACGGAGAGGCAGTCAGAGACAAGATGGGTAGAGAAAGATCAGGAGAGGACAGGTAGATTTGTGTGTTATCTGCATATAAATGATAATGGAAGCCAAAGGAGCTGATGAGTTTACCAAGGGAGGAAGAACAAAAGTGTAGCGGAACACCTGGTAACCTGACCGGTTACCTCCGCTACTTCTTCAGCTCAACAGGAACCATTTAGGATATAAAGAGACCCATTCCCCACAGTAACTGGACGACACACAGTTCTGGAGGTACAACAACACTTTATTTGCCACCCACAGCTTTTAAGCATATCCCATGCAAAGGGTGTAACACATGACATACAATGTTCCCTCCCAGGATCCTACCCCTCCCCTGGAACCTACCACAGGAAAGGGGCTTTGTCCCTTTGTCCCCAAAAGCCCGCCACCCAACCACTTTGACTTTCAAGCACAGAGAGCCCACCCGCGGGAAAAGAGCTGGTCTCTTTGTCCCAGCGGGCACTGCAAAGCCCGCCAAACTTGCCAGTGCCCCAGAAGTGCCCACACCAACTTCAGGGACCCTCGCAGTGTTACCTCCCTCGACAAGGCTCCGCTCATGAGGTCTTTGTGTGAAACCCTGCAAGAGAAGCGTCTCCTTTCAATATACGCGAATATCCCCCTGAACTGCATTCGTCTGTACGAAATGGCGGCCACCCAGGGGAGCAATCATTAATTACTTCCCTTGCGGTTTCACATGTATGCTGCAAGTGCGAACGTTCTGATTAATTGATGTGAACGTTCTAATGGGGCACTGGGGAGGTCCTCGTTCGGGTGATGAACAAGTCGGGAAACAATCCACGAACGCTCCATGGCTGGTGTTTGTCTACACGAATGGCGGTCAGCCAGCGGAGTGCTCATTGTTTCCCTTGCAGTTTGCAGTTTGACACCATGTTGTGAGGTGTGAGTGTTCTAAACTAATATTCTAAATGGGGCACCGGGGTGGTCCCTGTTTGGGAGGTGAATGAATTCCCTTTGTGAGGGTAGTGGATGCATGGAATAGCCTTCCAGCTGAAGTGGTAGAGGTTAACACAGTAAAGGAGTTTAAGCATGCGTGGGATAGGCATAAGGCTATCCTAACTATAAGATAAAGCTAGGGACTAATGAAAGTATTTAGAAAATTGGGCAGACTTGATGGGCCCAATGGTTCTTATCTGCCGTCACATTCTATGCTGTGGAAGCACTCCTGAACAGGGAGTGGGCAAAAGACACGAAAAGATGGGAAAACACCCATAATAACGGATAGGCAGGGGACCAAGGACAGAACCTTGGGGACCACCGACAGAGAGAGGTTGGGGAGAAGTGGCAGAGCCAAAGAAAGAAACACTGAAAAAGCGCTGATATAGGTAGGAGGAACACCAGCAGAGAGCAGTATCTCGTAGACCAAAATCACGGAGAATGAGAAGAAGCTGTTGATGATCAACAGTGTCAAAGGCAGCAGAAGGATCAAGGGGAATTACGAGTAATGGCCGCGAGATTTAGCAGCGATTAAATCGTGGGATACTTTGGTCACAGTTGTTTCAACAGAGTGACGAGCGCGGAATCCAAACCGAAGCAGTCAAGCAGAGAGTTGGGTTTGAGGAAGTCTGTCAATCTCGCATACACAACTCTCTCAAGCATCTTGGAGGCAAATGGCAGTATCGATATAAGGCGGCAGTTGGATGGGGAGTTGGGGTCGAGGTTGGGCTTTTTCTGAATCGGCGTTATAGTTGAGGTTGGAGATTTCCCTGATTGTAGAAATCTTCTCAGTGAAGTGAGTTCCAAAGATTGAGGCAGACAGGGTGGTAGGGGAGGGGGAGCAACAGGGCGAAGGAGAGCACTAAAAGTGTGAAATAGGCATTTTTGGTTGGTGGGACAGTGTGCTTAAGATGGTGTTGAAGTAATTTACTTTTGCAGAGGAAAGAGTCAGAGTATATCGCACCTAATTTTAGTCATTGACTGTGATGATATAGTATAAGTACCAGCACAACAAATTCATCTCAGTAATCACAATACTTTATATAATGAATTGTCGATTTGTCTTGCAATGTGTTTACACAAGCATCACAACGATATATTAAAAGAGCTATAAATGGCTAACACGTGTATCCAGATGTACCCTTCACTTTGCCTTCCTCCTGCATGTAGCTCATTAAGTAAACTCTTGCACTGGCTAGGTAACTTGCTTACACAGCACTACCACCTTAGGTCAACTTCCAGTACCTTGCTTTGCATTACCCGTTATAACACGTAAGCAGGTCAAGCAGCCTTCTCAGAGCAATTGTCTCAGAGCAAGTGTCGAATCACCTCCCAGAAAACATCAAGTCCTCCAAAAGTCTGCAATCTATGAAAAGGCCTCAGCCCTGAAACTGCAAATATGTGAGGTGTGAGTGTTCTAAACTAATATTCTAAATGGGGCACCGCGGTGGGCCCTGAAACTGCAAATATTAAATAAGTATGTTCTTAAATGTATATATTTGTATCTACATACTAACGCTCATGCGCCATAAACCCAACAAAGACCAGCAGTATCGTTCTTATAATTTACATGTTGATTGCTTATGGATAGAAGGGGATGCAGCTAGATTAAACCTATCATGACAGATGCAATATCTTTAGCCACAAACATATTTCAGGACTAGCATTTGACCAGGTACTTAAAGAAGGACAGCAGCAACACACATTTTTTTTAATTGAACCACTTATTAATTTGGAGATTATCACATATAAATGTGTAAGCTGGCAATTACAGCAATACATAACAAGGCATTACCATAGCAATAGCTCAAGGAGAATCCTATCTGCACACTAATGTAATTAACTGATAATAGCAACAACTAATTTCAAGCAGGTAATGCTTATTTGCTGCCTCACACCAGATGACAGAACTTGATAACTGTTCTAAAACATGTATTCTACAAGT